CCTGGTTGGACACCACTACCGTCAGCATGAAGGCACGGTTCATCTCAAGTCTACTGGCTGAAGGAAGGAAGGATGTTAATGGCAGTGTGTGAGAGTTAAAGTTAAACTTAATTCAAGTAGTCTAAACATTCAAAATTATTGGCCTTTTGTCCTTCTCTTGGTAACATGAAAGATAGTTAGTAATGATGAAATCCAGAATGAAGAGAAATGAATCACTAGCCATGTTTCCATCCAATTGTCATGCGAATTTAAGCTTACTTTTGAAATGTCGCAAAAAAGAAAAAAAAAGAAATTGTGATATATGTGTGTTTCCATCAGCTTGTTTAGAGCGAATAAACAAGGCTACGGCAAGCTAGTTGACGTTACACATGGCTGTAATAAGAAGACGTATGGCTTCCAAACCAGAAACAAAACCAGTTGCTTGAACCTGAGGCAGGTCATCTTAGAAAAATGGAGAGATTGGCATTCACCTCTTTCTCAGCACAAATGAGCGTTAACAGCCGTGAGGTGCATGAAATTATTGCAAATATGCAGAACTCTCCAACCGACGCCGACAGCAAAAGCTGATCAGACGTGATTACAAGTTCACTACGTCAGAACTTATTCGGAAAAGTGTTTTCCATGTCCCATATAGTGCATTTACTCTTTTCACAAAAGAAAAACCACCTCAAGTGAGCGTAAAAACTTTTTGCAAAATTAAGGATTTTTGCTGTTTCCATCAACCTTTTCTAATGCGATACTTCAAAATGCGCATTAAAATGTTGATGGAAACACGGCTACTGTATACATCAGCAATGTTTCACCAATACGCTTCATAGACATATCTAAACTCTAAAATATGTACATTTGTGCTAAATTTCACTTTGTCATTTCACATATATTATTACAACATTGCACAAATATGAAAATTCAGTGTAACCACACCACAAATTGTAGCCTCAAACAATTTCACCAAAGTGAATAACTTCTTATAAACTCTATATTTTAGCATTTATTGCAATAATATCATTGTTCTGGACTGTATTTATAATTGTCATTATTGTTTATGTAAAAATAAAACATTTTTACTTGAAATTGTAGTATTTGTTATTGATTTACAGGTAAAGAAAGCCTTTACCTACTTACCTACTATCGGTAGTATTATTTCATTACTTTTTATGTGCAAACAAATTCAAGTATTCAAGCACAGGGGGATTACTATAAATATTATGGTGATTATAGTGTTAAAACCCCTATCAACATTTCTCTTTCCTTGTTTGGGCATATGCGTTGAGTCTTGTTGATGATAAAGGACATGATAAATGAACAGATGTCGTAAGTGGCCACTTGATGAATTGGATTCATATTCTCTCTAAATAACTAACCAGCACATGCAAACTAAAACATACGCACATCCCAAGAGGAGGCAGCAGAGCTTAGGCTATTCATAGGGTGCTGTCATGGCTCTGCCTTTTCAGTGTGTGTGTGTGTGTGTACTCTACAGGGGGTTTTGCTGGCTGAGCCTAAACCAGAGTGACAGTCCCGCACACTCCTAATGAAGACTACACGATCAGGTTCAAATGACAACAACAACAAGCAAGAAAATAAAAAAGAGAACAAATACGCTGCTTGTAGGTACTGCTGGCACATTTCTAAATAGGCGGATGATGATTACCGCCACAAGGCTTGTATCTGGGTGTTTGATGGTGATGTTAATGATTTAGAGCACATCTGTATGTTATATTGCCTGAGTGTTATCAGTGGATAGTGTGCCAGCATAGCCTTGATATAAAAGGCATTTCTAATCAGGCTCCTTGGTTGACAAGGGCACTGGAGTGGATGTGTTTGTGTGTGTGTATTAGTTGGTGTTACAGTTTGCTTGTGTATGTGCATGCACATAGATGTGAGTAAATCTAAGCACATGGGTATGTATTCGTGTGTGACCCAATGGTGCACGGGGAACCCATTTACAAGCAAACCACGCTCAAGGCTCTTTGATCTGCAGCCAGTGGTATTCAGAGCACAGGGAGGTCTAGAGTAGCTGTAGGCTAACGAAAACACACATTCACGCTCAGAGGCACACACACACACACACACACACACACACACACACACACACACACACTCACACACCCTGAGGGAAGCCAGAGGGGTGAGAGGTCAATAACATGGCTTCCATCTTTTGCCCATGAGCCATCACATCTTACATCTCCTCTGTATCGCTTCACCCGTTCCTCTCTTTTCCTTTTACTTAATTTGCTCTGCCGGACTCCAACTTCCCACCCCTCGTCTTCTCACCTCTGATCTATGCTCTCTGCGGTCTGGCTCTCTCAATCCTCGAAAATCTGTCTTCGCCTCACTTCTCTCCTCCTCTCCACTTACCCTGTCATCTTCCATGTTTATCATAAGCTGTGATTTACATATCTTAATGAGTCATTCAAACCAGGCGGCTCTGTTTGTGTTTTTGTGCATGCTTGTTTGTCTACGCATCTATTACTGTGCAGCAAAATGAGAATGAGTCTCATAAACTCCCCAGAGAGCAGTGTAAATGTGTGACATGTTCTGGTTAAGACTTCAGCCCTTGTTTACAGAGGAGAAGTCCCTCGTGGGAGATTGCGGCATACCTGGGTATCAGTGTGATTCGATGTCTCTGTACTAGCAGCTGGAGATGCCCTTGGTAAAATAGGAAAACTAAGGTAGCGCCTTTTTGACTTTACCTATCTCACATAGTCTGAAGTGAACCATTCCGGCTCCCTTTCCCCAGAGCAAGCTGATGCCCCTCTGTTTACTTGTTGAGACAGTCTATTTCTCCTTTCTTCCCAGGGGGTGTCCTGTCTCTTATTTTATGATTTCCTGATAACCTCCCATGGGTCTCTATGGAAGCTTACGGCTACCCGGTTGCTGAATTTTACATCAGGGAGTGAGAGGAATGCATTAAAAAGGCAGTCATCTAGAGATAATGAAGAGAAGCAAAATGCCAATGTTCATTGCTCAGGGTGCTGTGGGAATTCTAGGGAGATGTTATTGTTATTTTTTAAACATTGTTGTGATTTGCAGGATACATGAGGAGTATGCCCCTGGGTCCTAAGGGTCAAACAAATAAACAAGTTATTTGTACACATGCGACACGGCGAGCACATTTAGACAGCCACTCATGGATGAACACAAAAATACAAATGCTAAAGACCCATATATACTAACTTTACATACCCAAATGGGGTAAATCCCTCTGCACAACCTCTGTCTGAGAGGTTGAACACTAACATAACTGGTTGTTAAAAGACATGGCTTTGTTGTTGCTGTCATTTACCATAGCAGCTAGAACATTATGAGCGTATAAAAACCGTTGCCTTTGTAATTGAGAAATCAATAGCTAATTTGCTACAGTGGTCTCGCCAGCCATTGTGTTTAAGTCTGTGTGTGAGTGTATGAGCTGTTTCTGAAGGGCGCAGCAGCCTCCAATCTCTCATTTGGACATAAAGGGGCATATGAAAGGCAAAGACCCCAGCCTGTCCACATTTAACTCTGTATTCTATTATTGCTTGCGTTTAAATCCAGAGGGGATGTGACTGTTTCTTCCACGCTGACCTCTATAAGGCAAGAAGCAGAGCATGTCCTGATAGGCTGGTATCTTACCTTCACAACGGTTACCATGCCGTCATTGGTGACAGGGTCAGTGCGGATGGTGAAGTGCCCAGATGGGTCTCCGCTGATGATCCTGTAGATGGCATTCCAGTTAGGCGAGTGTGGTTGGTCAGCGTCTATCACCGTCAGATTAGCCACAACAACATCCACTCGGTTCTCTGGTACCTCACCGGAAAACTGCAGAAAATAATGTAAACGTTACCTTGTGATCTGTTGCTTCAAAATATTTCTATTTTGACTATAGCTGAGGTCTTTGGGATACATTGAGCTGTTTGAGTGTTCCAATTTCTCCAAAAAGCCATGGAGTGCCTATCTATGTTTTCCATTTTTCTTTACAGAGCCAGTCCTCCTTTCAGGTTTTCAGGTAGAGTAAGTTTAATGATCTCGATTTTACCACCGCTGAGTGGTAAACAACAGTAAACACAGTTGCACACCAGCAAGCACATGCACACAGGGGCGTTGTTCCAGTTTCAACGTTTTCTGCCTTTTCTGCATTCCAAATGCCCAGTCTTGATGAGCAATAATATTTCATTCTTTTGAAAGCCAGAGTGACAAAGGAGGAGAAAATGGATGAACAGAAAGGAGCTAGCAGTGGGGAGGGTTAAAACAGCTGTTAGAGCGTATGTGAGTGGCTTTTAGTTGTCCCCTTGCTGTACAAACACATGTGCTTTGTCCTGATAAGCCTGATGAGGAGTGAGCGGCTGTCTGTCATGTGTCTGTTGTGGTGGGGATGGATCAAAGCTGTACAGGCTCAGGGGATAAAGCCCACAAAGACGAACCAACAACAGCAACAACTGTGTCGCTATCCTGTAAAACACAAGTCGACCACAGCCCCACCTACACGAACAACCCACCGACTCTTAACCAATCACGTGGGGTCAGAAGGTGAGCATGTTGGCGTGTCTTCACCCCATTTGAGGCAACAGGCATGTAGCACCATACACCGTGTCACCATGGGTAACAGGCATGGAAGAGCCACTGAGCCGCTTATGTGAGTGTAGGATATCAAAGAGCAAAGCCCCAGACCAAACACTCCAACAAACCATAATACCCTGCCTGGCAACCCTCGCATCACCCAGCAAACAGCCGACAGCAGCGGGCAGATTAGAGGGCTGCGTCAGGAGAGCTGTTCAGAGACTCAATGACATTCTTAAGACAACAGACAAGTCCGGGTGGTCCTGATGCACTGCCTACATTGGATAAGTAGGCAGCCTGTCGTATGTTTGACTGTGTGTGTGTGTGTGTCTGTGTTTGAGTGGTTTATTACAGTGGTTTGGTTCAAGGACTCCCCAATGCCAATTTAATAAAATAAAACTTCAGAGATGGCTCTTGGGCTCCTAAGGGCCATTGAGCATTGTTGTTCTCCGCACACAGTAACAACTAAGGGCAAGAGTTAACCAGATCTGATGGAAGACTTTGAAAAGTCCCTCACAGCTCTTATTATCAATACCGCAATATAAGATTTCTACTCTCATCATCTAAGTCATAGGGTGGGGAAGTGGGAGGGGTTACATCCGGCATCCTCAATTGGAGTAATAAAAGTCTTATTTATTTTTCCCATAGGCAATCTTAGATGGCATGGCAGTTTTTGAATTCCCTACACATGAAACTCTAAATCATTGACCCAATCACTTAGCAAATTAATTTCAAACAGGTCCATGCAAAAAATGTGGAAACTGTAGCCAACTGTGCAAAGTACAGGAAGTCAACTTTTAAGTCCCAAAAAACTTGCAGTAAGTAGACTCCAATCACTGAAATTAAAGCTTGGGTAGGCAACATTGGACAAACAGCTAGATTTTAAACTATCCATTCGAAAACATCCTAGCTCCCTCCCTTCAGGCCTCCCTCCAAAGCCTCTCCCCCAAACACATTTTAATGTACAATAAGTGCATGGCAGAGTGAGCACAGGTAGACAGGTAATCATTCCAATAATTTAATATGGCCTGAATGTAATGACTGACTGTGCTTATCACAGTCCTGCGGAATCTTACCAGATTTTTTCCTTTTTCATTTTTGTGACAAAGCCTTTGATTTATTATTTGCTGTCGGGACGTTAAGAAGAATTATAACAAACAAATATAACAAAAAATGCTTCTGAAATAAATTGCCTTGCCTAGCTTCTGTGATTTTATATTGCAATGGTGGTCAGAATATACTTGAACTGAACTTTGCAACTCTGATCTAGACCCTGTAGTATTAAATGCCATTCAACATCAAGCAAAAAAAAAAAGAAAAAGGAAAAGAAATGCAGTTGACATGACCATTTTCATGGAGACAACACCACTGCTATGCTGAGTAGTATTCAGGTTATTTGTATATGAAAGAGAATTTAAAGACCTTTTTTTCCCAGAAGCAAGGAGTCCTCCATATTCTCCATGATTCAAATTGCTCTATTTCTTTGAGACTCCAGCTTTTATTTTTATGACAGTGAGCTTTGACTTGTGGTAGCAATGTTGTCAATAATGGATTGTGATTCTGTCATCTTTGATTTTGAAAAGAGAGCATTTCAGTCTCTCTTGGAAACACCTTGTGGTTGTTCTCTTTCTTTCAGTATCTTAATGATTTATTAGCTGGATACTGCGTTGACTCAGACTTTGCTATTGGTTTTGGCAGTACACTATTGTGGCATTTTGTTTCAACAGTGAATTGTTGTATGGCCGTGGTGTCTTTCAGCAGAGGCTCGGATTTTCTCTGATCAGGTAGTTTTTCTTTCTAAAATACTGCATCTTGTCCCCAACTGCCGGACTAAAGGAAAGGAGGGGGAAGCTCTTTGATTGTGATTGGCACAGAGTGCAGTGGGCTTTCTCACAGCACTTGACAAAACACCCCTTTGCCCACACCCTCACCCTTCTGCCACCATTTTGGCAATGAGCAAAGACTAAAGGAGGCAAGGGGAGGTGAGAGAAGAGAGGGGAGAAGTGACAGGGAACTTCATCATTGGACCTTTGTGAGGACAGTAAAGGAAGAAAGCCAAAGGATGCACTGCAGTAAATCCTGCACAGAGATAATAATAATAATAATCCTTATTTGTAGAGCACTTACAAAGTGCTTTAACAAGTGTAAAGAATAATACAAAAAAAGATAAGAGCATGAAAATTTAATATAAAATTAGTAAAATACAATAAAATAAAAGGGATAAAATAAAGTCAAATAAGATTGGGAAAAGCTCTCCTATAAAAGTATGTTTTAAGAAGGGACCCTGATACCACAATTGTAGGTCTCTCTAAACATACCTACAAAACTTCCCATACCATGTGTGATAGTCATTTTTGCAGTACTGTATGCATAAACCAACAAAAGAATGAATACATTTTTTTTTATCTAATCTATCTGTACCACAGAAATAATGTGAAGCATGTATGCAGCCCTGAATAAGCACCCCAAGCCTTCACATCCGTACACATACACCACCCTTTGCTGCTGTGAAAAATAGAGCAGCCTCTGATAAGTATGATGAAATATTAATCATCAACATTAAAGACAAATTCCCCAAACTTTATATTTCTGGGACACGTTGAAAGATCTATGGGGTTCATTGCAAACACTAAATATTTGCATAATGGCCTGCATTCTCAACAAAATGGCTTTTATGTTATCCCCCCACTAAAATGGGTGATTTATGAAGGAAATGGGTAAAAGTGCTCATCGTGGCTCCAAATCCTCCACTAAAGTTTATCATCAATATCCATGATAGTATTAACTTCCCTCTGTGGCGATGATGGAAATGCACTTAAACACGGTGGAATACAGTTAGAGAATATGAATCTATTACTGGCCACTATCATCAATACGCCACCATCAGCAGAGTATCTTAAATCAGAGGCATATGCCGAGTCAGGAAAGGCCTCTGATTTACAACAGGGCATGTCTATGCTTTATCACTGCTGCTGTAGAAAATAGCTCCTGTGACCAAAAAAATCCTTCATTCTTTCTCGTCTTCCCATCATTCTCTCGTCACTTTTTCGTCTTGGAGTCTACACGATGGTCAACTCATCAACTTCTCTTTCCCTCTTTTTGCTCACCATCTCCTTTGAGTGTATTTTTTTCTTCCTTTGCGCTCTCTTTGTGCATTTCCTACTGTCTGTAATGTGGCAGCTCTGTGATGAGCTCTATGGCTGACACAAGCTTACTACCAGTGCTAACTCATCATCATAGGGTCTTAATAGCCCACGGGGCAAATGCTAATGCTAACTCCTCTGCTACAACCTCAAAGAGCCGAGCATTCTGTACTGCTGATACCGCTTCAGCTGCTATCCTTGCAGTTGCAGAGCTAAGCACCTTATCTACCCAACATGCTCTCATCACCACTGATAGGAAAGCACACATACAGAATAATTCTGACACCTGAAGCCATACAGACACCTAGAAAGATTTTTCATCATAACATGAAACTAGAATGCAAATGCGCCACCTACTCCACTTAATACAAATGTTTTTCTTGAGAATTTCATCAAAAAACATACAAATAATAGCTCAGATTTTTCCCCACTTTCCAGCTGTCAGAGAGAAATACTGCTGCCACCTCAGCTGTTCCGCCTGCACATCTAAATATTTTGCAGCACTGACAAACACCACTTTTATAATGACCTTCTGTAATGTAATCATGAATCTAAATATCACTATCACAACAACAATCATTAACGATTTGCTGGCTCTAGTTTTCATGCAGATGAAAGTCAGTGTTATGGATTAGATGTCTGTGAAGATTCTCAGTCATCCAGGTCATAGTTATCCAATGAAGGTTAAGGGCAACTGGACTTGGTTAACCAAGATTAGTTTTTACTTGTGTGTGTGTGTGTGTTTGCATCCACTACAAGGAAATGAGTAAGTACCCTTTGCACTTCATAACCCCCCTCCACTGTCCTCGTGTAAATCTTCCTGTATAACGACATAACACAGTGATATAGGCATTTCCTTTCTACTTTCCATTTCTTCCTCCTGCCCTCTCAATGTTCGTCTCTGTAGCCATTTCTATTTCTTTTTCTCCAACATACTCATCATTTCCACCCTCTTCTCTGAACTCTCTCCTCCTCTGAATTGTTACCCTTTTGCCACTCCCTTATTTGTAGCAACTCACAGTTCTGGAGGTCAGCATGGGAGGGTTGTCATTGATGTCCGTGACAGTGATGATGGCAGTGGCTGTGTTAGAAAGACCAAAGTTCAGGTTGCCCTCCATGTCCGTGGCCTGCACGATGATGGTATACTGGGACACTTTCTGTGAAAGGTGGAAACATAAAAAGAACACAGAGAGTGCAGTTATTCATTTGAGAAGAAAAAAAAAAACTTTCTCTTCCTCAAGTCTACAGCTATAGCCACAGACTGTGACTCCCAAAGGAAAAGCTGAGCCTGTGTTCTGTTCTCTAATAGCTGGTCCTATTTGAAACAAAGATTCACAAGGGTGAAGTATTTTATACGACTGCATTGAAACCTCCTCAGCGGAACACATCCAGACTTCACACCATCTGAAGGCTGCACTGTGAAGTCTCCCCATGGGTATGTCATCAAAGACATTGCTTATTCAGTCCGACTGATGGACAGATGTGAAGACAATGATCCAACTGACAGAGATTAATAGACTATCTATGGAGCAATAAGATGTTGGAATGATAAATGCCATTTCATCTTTTGAAATGACACAGTGTCACTTCACTGGAAGCTGAAATATGGTTCTCTTATTTGTATTTTTGTACTTGGGTGCTTCTGTTCGGCCTCTCTTCGCCGGCATCCTCAGTCTCTTCTTCTGTCCCAGAGTGCAGTTAATGGGCTGCAGGAAGGATTTGGCCTGGGAGCCGACTGTCTGGATAATGTGTCTCGTCACTGAGATTCCCAATTACATTCCCAGCGTCTCTCTCACCTGCTAATTACCGAGTAAATATCCCAATTAGGCCAGGACGCCACATCAGGAGGATTAGACAGCTCCTCTCAGTTCCTCTCATCTCGATGCTAGACAAGATGCTGAACTCCAACCTTGTACACACACTCTCATTAACATCCATACATACACACAAATGCACACAAACATACACATACACACACACACACACACACGCCTCTCTTTCTCCATATCTTTAGAGGCAGTGCTTGCCTGACTGTCCCATCAGCCAGTATACACCATGTACACAACACTCTCACTAATTAGACAAGGGAGTAATTATGTAGAGCTCCTCTGAACCTCTCAGCATTGCAACAACACCGCAGCATACCCAGCTTCCTCTGAAGGACTGAGGTCTGTTACTGTCAACAAGCTCTTAAAGGTCCACTGCAGACCCGTGGAAACCTTTAGAAGAGAATCAGTGTGGGAGTTTATAAAGGAGAGGAAGAAGACATTTCAAAAGTAAAGAACAGAGGAGAGGAGAAGAGACGGCAGGGAATGCAACTGAGGCGCAAGGGAGGAGGACTACCAAAAATAGATGCCTGTGTTGTTTTTTTTGTAGCGCCTAACACCTCCAACATCCCAGCCCAAGAAGGGGAGGGAGATGCAGAAACTTTCAAAGTTTCAAAGGGCCAAAGTGCTGACTAAAAGTGGACCAGGGAAGCACAGCAACGTGCTGTGTAGCATCTTCCTGTGAAGTTTATGTACAGTACATAAGCTCCGAATTTTTCATCCTGCAAGGTTTGAGACTTCTTATCTGCTCGCAAAGAAAAAAGTGTGCACACATGAATGTATTCATAAAATGTATGTAAAAATACATATGTGAGACCACATAATGTAGAGAAATATATGCATGTACTTGTGTTTGTGTCTACACATGTGCTTGTGTGTTTGTCTTTGTGAGGACCAGTTGAGTTTTATACCATGAGAGAGAAGGCATTTTTGGAAAGTGAGGACATTTTGGCTATTCCTCATTTCCTCAGAGAGCTGTTTGAATGTTAAGACTAGGTTGAAAGGTTAAAGTTAATTTGTAAAGTTTTAAATCCAGCATTGTTTACATCCATATTTATTTGCTAGCAGTCTTCGTTTTCACTGAAAACAGATGCCTGCTGCGGCCATAAATGTCACTATGAGAATGGTGAGAGTCTATACTTGGTTAGTGAAAGTGAAAGAGCAGTGCTCGTCCCTCCCTCAGTACCACCACTGAGGTGTCTTTGAGCATGGTTCTTAACCCAGATCTGCTCCAGTGGGGCTGCTCTGTGGCCAACTGATCACACTGAGGTTTAAAATGTCATATTGCAGGTATTAATGTGTATAACGCATTGACTGTGAGCAGGGTGCTCCTGAAAAAGAGAGCTTTTAGTCATACTACCCTGTATAAACAACATATTTAGGGCTGAATTATATCTGTATGGGTCTTCCCAAGTATACCAGTGTGTGTGTGTGTGTGTGTGTGTGTGTGTGTTTGTGTGTGTGTCTGTGTGTGTCTGTGTGTGTGTGTGTATTGAGGTAAGAGTTTAATCCTATGTTAAGGGTGACTGGCTGGATTAGCAGATCAGCAGATGTTTGCTGAGACATTTTAATCCATGTTTCCCTCATACCTCTCTTTTTCACCCCTGGCTCTCTCATATCTCATCCTGCTTCTCTGTCACCATATCTTCATTGCCAAATTCACGCTCACTTCCTCCCAACTCATTGTAATACTCTGTCTGCCCAGCTCTGTTTTTGTTCTATTGCTCCCTTCAGTTTTTTTACCCCCTCAATTGCCTGTGTTTTATCGAGGGTAGATGTGATTATATGGGCTTTTGTGTTTGTCTGACAGGTGTCAAGGGCGTTCTATCTCAGATATTTCCACTCTATCTTTACCACCCAAACACATACACAGACAAACACAGACACACACTAAAACTCACACACCACACAACGTGAGCAGCCCACTGTAGCATGATGTGTTGTTAATAGGTCTGTCACTGGTGACAGTTTGGGAGGATGATCTGTCTCGGAGATTTCTTTGCAGAGTTGTCACTGGCACATCCATGTCACAAGAATAAACACATTTGGATGCTGTCACAACTTTTATAGCACCATAAACAAGGTGACCGCAGAAGAAGGCAATTTACTGTAAGAAAAAAAAAATTAGTTTGTGTGTGTGTGTTTGGTGACAAATGGCTAGAGAACATTTGTAAGGCACATCTTAGACTGTCCTCGGAGTAAATAATGCTGTTAGGATCTATGCTCTATAAACAAAGATAAAGGAGTTTCACACTCACAGACTTTTAAGACAAAAATCATTATACATTCCTTATTTATGTTGATTGATTTCCTTATTTTAATTTTATCTCTGAAAAACATTTAAAAATCCTTTTGTGAATACTTTGGGACATAGAAGACCAACCTCTCGATCAAGACCAGGCGCCACGGTCACAATATCTCCAGTCTCACTGTTGATGGTGAACATGTTAGGGATGGGGCTGTGCGGCGTCTGGGACAGGATTCGATAGCGCACCATTCCATTAGCTGTGGTGTTGTCATCAGCATCGAACGCTGACAGGTGCATCACATACGTTCCTGATGAAGAAAAGAATATTTGTCAAGGGGATACATGTGATATTTATGTCCGAACAGATCTATTGTAGCCTTTCTATGTGTTAAAGGAGTAACTTTTGAAAGATGGAATAACACAATGCCCCTTTTAGAAAATAAGAGGTGAACTTATATGCAGTAACACACACCCTTACCCAATTCAGTACACCCAGAGGTTTTACTGCTGCAGCCTTCGTTGGTCTGGTATGACCAGTAGCTTAATGGTGGCTAATGTTAACCAACTTTAGGCAAGGCTAGGCAGCTTTATTTGTATTGCACATTTCAAACAACTCAAGGTAATTTACACTGGCAAATGAAAGCATCAGAATGGCATTTGAAAACAAAAATCATTAAAAACCAGAATAAAACCAATTAGGTATTGTTGTGTAACTGATTACTGATAACTGGGAAATTAAGTCTCACTATCCTGTAATTGCCTCTTGTGGCCAAAGTGGCCAATTTTTTGCTATTGTGCCTTTAACTGGATAATTTATAATGAAACAACCAGGTAGAACCTACAAAATGATCTGGACACAATGCACTACTCTGCTTAATCAACTATCCTACAAACATATTTTAATAACAGATAGTGTATTGGTAATCATCACACTGATACTGGTCCATTTGTACATATCTAGGCCTCATAACTCACATCATCTTTTGCATTTACAGTGTATATAAAGAACAGGCTACAAATATAATGTATATCATTTTTTTAACTGACCCAAATGGATGGCACTTGTACATCCTACAAGTAGATTTTGATGACAGATATTCTGATTACAGATATTGCTAATAACATTATTCTTATATACTGATTACTATGCTTTACCATTACATAAGAATAAGCTAAACAACCATCTAGATGTTTAATCTTTGCTTACATTAATCTAAAACTGTTGGAAACCTGTTTTGTAAATAATAATCACTCCACCTACAAGCACAAGCAAGCACAGACATATAGTATATGCAGATACGGTTCTTTTGGAGAGAATAAGCCACTATCCTTCCATGAATGCACCGCTTGTTTGCTGCCTCCATGCACTCATATAACTCAGTGGGATCACTGCCTGTCACCCAATCTCTCCATCTCTCTCTCACTCTTGTTCTTCCTCTCTCGCAGCCGATTCTAATTGCCAGAGATAGTGATATCATGCCAGTGACAGCCCCTGTCCGAGGATAATTGTAACCGCAGCTCCCATTTCAAACTTCATTACATTTCAAAGCAACATTTGTCAATGACTCGGCCAGAGGGAGCACTCTAAAGGCCTCTCAGCGAGACGAGAAAAAAAGGCGGCAGGAACAGAGGGAGGGAGAGGAAAAGGGAGAAACAGAGGACAGACTCCATATTTGGTTTGATTCCAGGCGGAGTGACTATCAGTTCTCCACCCATCACTTTTTTGTAGAGATGGGGGGATAGAGAGAAGGAGATGAAGCATCACAATGTGCCGCACATCTGCGGGGGTAATTTCATTAAGCTGCACTCTTAGGGGGTTTAATGTGGACCCTTTGTACGGGTGGCCTAAGCTGTGCCTGACAGGATTAGGTCGCCATAATGACTCTTTAATTTGCAAACTAATTCAAGTCTGTAATTGGCCTTCCATTGAAACCACTGGAGCTCTAAATTCTAAAACTCTCTTTTTTTATGATTATTGTTCAGCTGAATGTCATGCACACCACAGAGACTAGACTGCTGTTTGGGGCAAAGCTGGGGGGGGGGCAGAGAGTGCACAGTGAGAGAAAAAAGAAAGAAAGACAAACAGAAAGACAGAAAAAAAGAAAGAAAGAAAAGGAAATGAGCACCTGGATACCTTTTGAGATCACTTCTGGTGCAATAAACTCTGGCCCATCAGGCTTCACACTCACACACACGCATGCACACAGAGAGCTCATCTCCGTGATTCTTCCGCTCTGAGGTGAGACATAAAATGACCCAGTGGTGCTACAGCGTGGTACATTTAATCCTCAATCTCCTCTCCAGCCTGAGCACCCGCTTTGGTTTATGGCCACTGCTGCAGCCAGCTAAATGAAAAGCCACTGTAGGAGACAGATTCTCCGTCTGTCTGCTAAATCAAGGGAAATGGAAAATTCTCTGTTGCGTCAAAGATTGACTGGTGTAGTCATAGTTTTAACAACACCAATCTCCCCTGATATACTAGTCGCTCTTCCTCCGTCCACCCATATCCAAACACCTAACCCCTCCAATCAATTCTTTAATCTTTTTAAATAAATTATTCTCTCTGGTAATTGCCCCTGCTTCACACTTTACTTCTTGTTTTGTCCATCTATCCCTCCATCCATCACCTGGTTTAGAGCCTTCATCCACAGAGCCATTGTAGACCTGGTTTTTGAACTCGGGTCTGTTGTCATTCATGTCTATGACGAAGATGTACAGATCGATGGGGTTCTCAACTTGGTTCCCATTCATGTCCACAGCATGTGCTCGCAACTGGGAAACACAAAAATCACAAGAAATGAGGTTAGATTACAACCATTATGCAATCAGGGAGTGATAAACTAATAAATAATTGACGAGTGCTTGTATTGGTTTTATGGAGAAAATTATTAATGTTAACAAATTTGGTGTTTGATGGATACAAACAACAAGGGACTGTCCATCTAACAACATGATAGGTCTAAATTTATCTACTTACATCAAGGGTGTAATTAGAGCTAGACGATTAATTGAACATTTTACCTTGATTACAATTAATGAACGATTATTTGTTTTTGATTGTTGTTTTTTGTTTTGTTTTTTTGCCATCATAGTTCACTGACAAGATTTTTACTGTAAATATGCTTTGCTTTTAAAGCTGGATTAACTTTTTTAAATTAAGAGATGTAAAAATCGGTTATCTAAATTTTCATTGATAAGGTAATGTTGATGTGCACATACCAGAGATATGGTTCCCCTATATTTGGCGCATCACTGCTGCTGAATTATGCGGTACTAATGTTAATAATTTTCACCCGCACACTGTGAGAGCATGGTAACACTCAATGCTTTGCTAGCTTCCTTTTCTCAATTATCAAAGGACATCTAAGTGGCAGGTGCTGTTATAAGAGAAGCGGAGGTAATTCTTTTTTTAAGGGCAGTGCAATGTGTGTGTGTAATGTCAGCGAGTGAGAGGGCGACAGAGAGAGACAGCGGCAGAAAGTGACGGTGAAAGCGAGCGAGCAAGTTGTCAGTCTGGCAGTAAATCTGCAGTGTAGATCACAGTGTGTCCGTTAATACAACGGTCAACAAATGTCTGTACTTTCCCCCAACTGCTGGAAAGTGAAGGCGGTTAGCGCTAACAGGAAGCTGAGCAGGACTGGAGGGGGCGGGGTCATGTGACTAAAAATATTATCAGGATTAAAAACCGAACTAACCAACATGAGAAAATTACGTCGGTTAGAGGCTCTGAATTACGGTTTCGATTACTTTTCAATTAATCATCCAGCCCTAGATGTAATTATTGCTGAATCTTATTTTGTCTCTGTCACTTTTAGTTTAGCAGTATGGAGCTCCTATATCAGGCCTGATTCTGGAATATTCTGCAGATACTACTTAGGGAGGAATAAATGTTTTGTGTGGAAAAGAGGTCATGTATATTTTGCTATCTGTAATGTTACTGTTCTAATAAAAAGACACTACACTTGAATATCAGTCAAAGCTACAGCATCCAAGGACAGTGTTCCTGGGACATACTGATTTCTGGTGACTAAATCTTTATTTCAGATTACTTTAGTCTTTGTTTTCTGTTTTTATTGTATTTTATTTGAATTTCTCTATTTGTGTGTTAGAGAAGCAAATATTCTTATATGAGTTCTCTGTCATTGAAACCAACATAATACAAAAATGTTGGCCAAATGTATTATTTTTCTGGTAGACTTTGGAAATGCAAATTTCATTAAAACACTAGTGATACTGTCTACACCCACGCTTCTGAAACTAAACCTTCACCCTTTGTCTTCATTAACTGCTGCCATTGCCTAAGTTTTAATAGCTGTTATGTTTGAATATCACTTCTGTATATCACTCCTGGGATAGATGCCCTCAACCTATCAGTGTATTCCCAAATGTCTGCACTCATAGAAGTGGACACAAGAAAAGGAGAAACAACATAAATAAAACACCAACAAACTGAAAGCATTGTTTTTATATACTTCAAGGTGACTATTTCACAGTACTTCTAAAGTAAAAAAACCCCCACCTCTGCACTGTTTTTGAATTTGGTTCACTGAATTTGGCATTCAACCCAGCTCATGAATACATGGGCTGATAAAATCTGCTTTATTGAACTATACAGTATAAAAGTTTCAGAAAGATTTCCCAGACCCACACAACAATAATAAGAAACATGTGAAATTCTGGATATTTTTCTTGCAGAAAAATTGCCTTTGCGATCATGCACTTTCTCCAGACTTCTTATCTCTTTTATACTTAGTACCCAGATATTTTTATCTCAGTAGAAACCAAAACAAGAAACATCTTATTTTATTGGAAGGTGGCCCTGATGTAAAGGCAAGGTGTTTGTTTCAGGACCATTGTGTTGGATCCCAGGCCAACATTCTGTGTGGTTTTGTTTGAAAGAGAGTCCTGAAATCTCTTCAGTTCCCTCTGACTCCACAAACACATCAGCCCATCTCAAATTCAACTCAGCTGTGCTCAGATCAATGGAATCCCCAACTAGGATTTCTCACAAAGTTTGGACATGAGGTTATTACTGGAATCAATACATGCTGTAAAGTGTGTCCTGACGGCTCTCTCTCTTATGAAGTCTGGAGGAAGAAATAAAGAACTGACTGAATGAAAACGACAGTGGAGAAAACTGAATTATCAGGGAAATGTTGGCTTTAAATGAATGCTTGTGGGGGTTTTTTTTTTCACTCCATGCATGAAGGTCAAACTGAAGACTGAGATGCCATTTCAAAATGAACTCCACGGTTCTCCTTAAAGCTGTTTTGATTCACTTCACTCAACCTGAGAATGTTTATATCCCCAAACATGACTTATTCAGTGATATTCCTGTCAGCTAGAAGCACCGGGGATGTTTAGTTTATATCATACAAAGAAAAAAAAAATTATGCAGATACTATCTACATCCTGCTCCTAACAATGTAGGCTAGTAAATATGTATTCTGTTAAAATGTCAGCAATCAATTTCAGCTGAAGGACCTTCAACCTTATTTGATGTTAGGGATATTCATCTAAAGGAAGGCTAAAGGAAGGAGATGAAAATGGGGCTGGGGGAAAATGACAACATGTTAGGAACAGATAGAGAAGAAATATGACAAATTGTAACATGAGAAGATTTTTTTCCCCCTGTCATGTATGGAGAATTGAGGGATACTCTGAGTGAGCAAGATGGGAACGCGGCTACCACTGCACTGGCCACTGCAAGAGCATGAGAGCCAGATAAGTGAAATAGCCTCCAGGCTCATTGCAGCAGGAAATAGAATAAATAGCATTCTTCATCGGCTTCTTTTCCTCAGAGAGGTGAAGAACGTCTCCAATGCCACCCGCCCATCCACTCCTCTCCGCCGGTTTGCTTCTGCTCTGCACCTCCACCAAAATTGTGTCTTCAGGTCTCCCTGAGGTTAATTTGACTTTACTTTTTCCACTGCATTGTCTGATCTGTCCGGCACCCAATATCCGTGCACTGCCATCGCATATCACATCTCGCATCTCGCCGTGCTGTAACAGGCTAGGAGCCAGGCCCCTTATCTCAACCCACCCTCATCCCTCCATCCCGCATGCACCCACACCCTAATTCAATAACAGCAGGAGTCAGAGATTACCGCCATGTTTAAAAAAGGCAAAATGTAATTCTGGGTCCACATTAAAGTTATTATCTTGAAAGGCAGGGGGAGAAAACAGACCGTACCAGGCGCTTGGCATTTGGCAAAGAGGAAGCATCCTGATAGAGATAACAACAGACCCAGAAGCTCCAAGGTTTTTTCCTTATAAGAATGCATCTTGTTACATGGCTGATTTAAAAATTTCAGAGTGCTCATTCTTTTGAAATAAAAAGAACTAGACCGTAACTTTGTTCTGTCCTTGCATGAAATATGAAGTAAACAAAAAGAGGAGGACAAAGTCAAATTCTTGCTTTTCAGGATGATGTTGCTTAGTAAAGTTCTTTGTCTTTAAAGTTATTGGCCTGACGATGTTCAAGTTTTATACAATACAGTTTAATTGCTTTTCTGTTGCTCTAACAGCATCTAGTGTGAGAGGCCTTTCATTTTGTTTACATGTACATCTTTACCTTGTCTAAGCTGGTTTGTCCCTGCTCTTTGACTTCCACACTTTTCATCTTCAACAAACATGGAGTTTAACAGAAATGGGCAGTATTTCAATTAATGTTAATTTAATTACTTTTGAGTATTTTGTCATTTGTATTTTGAGTTTTTAACAAAATACTTTAAGAGCTTGTATTTCCATATTTAAAATACATTATTTAATATGTATTTTATGTTCCTTGTGACCAGTAGCTTGACTGAAGAAGCTGCTTTGGTGTTCGGTGCAATTTCCTCCAAGATAAAGCTATGCAACATATTATCACGTACTTCATTCGTCTGGGGCTAACTCGTTAGAATGCTAACTTCAGCAAATGTCTCTGCAACACAATACATAGATGTCTACTTTCACATATTTTTGGGTTGAAATGACTAGTAGGTACAAAACATTTTGTAATCCGTCCAGCTTCGACTGGAAGCCGCAAACCGGCTGTAGTGGCTCCAACGCATTGCTTTAGGGCAATTGCGCCCGACAAAATTATGTCCAAAAAAAGTGCTTGTTTTTGCTACTGATGCTCAAACAGTTATTCCAGGTGCCTGACAACATCACGGAAATGATCCCCACGAGAAACACCCAGTCAAACTCCTTATTTTGAACCAGACCCAGAAGTCTTGCTAAAGGACTATTCTCGCTCTGAAAGTTGTTGCTATTTTCCTGTGGTTCATACCAGCCTCAAAAGTGGTTCAAACCACAACTGGTTATGTGTGCAGCATTTAATTTAATGTTAAAAACCATATTGACAGGAAAGAAGCAAAGAAGAAAACGGCAAAATCAGCTGGGGCAGTGCAGGAGGGACATCAAGGCCACTGTTAGCCTCAGGCATGTATATATTTTTGAGGGGTATAAGGCCAAACTGAGGGTACACAGTGGCCATGGCCTTCATGGCCTCTATGAAATTCCTGCCCTGGTTTGTATAGAATCTATTTTTATATTAACAAATTGTATTTTAATTAAGTACATTTTTAATACCAGTATTTTGTATTTTATATTTGATGAGTAAGTATTTGTAATTTTTAACAAGATGATGTATTTATGCACATCACTGGAGTTTAACTTAAACAGCCTTCAGCAAGCCTCTGCCTTTTTTAACAAATCACCTCATTGATTAGACTTTCTCCTGGGTGTAAATCTGTTCAACTCCCACTAAAAGGTTGGAGTTGCAAGCTCACCAGGACTGTAAGTCAGACTAGACTCCCATATAAATACAAGGATAGTGGCAGGTACAGAGTAGGAGAAAACTAGAGACACCAACTTAAAGTGATTAACCCAGTGTGATTGTTCACCACATCAAAGCATTAGGGCTCTCTTTTCATGGCGGCAGAAAGACTAGCAGAAAGATCAGCTTAAGCACCAATACGACAAATTAGTGCTTTTTAGTACTCAGCACAACGGTACGATTGAAAGTTTCATTCAAATGAGGTAGTGCCAAAACAGGTGTTGGTATTTTGGCAAAAATTTGGTATTAGACAAAACAAAAATGGACATAAATGCTGCACTGGGCAAAGACTGCTTTTACATTACTGTACAGGTTAAACAAACAACTAACAACATACTGTGTGTTGATTAGTTAGCTTTAGATGTGAAATATTTTTGATTCCCCCTGCTTCAAGTCTCTAGAATAAAGATATACGAATAAGAGTATATCCAGAAATGTTTAAGTATTCACATCTTGTCACTCATCATCCAGGTTTTATTTTCCTACCAAGCCATTTTTCCTCTCTAATCGGTGAGTCTTTTCGTCATGTGCCACTGTTACTGGCACAGCAGTATTAATTTATCATTGAGCTCTCGGCTAGTTACAGTGCTTTTCTCATAGCTTTAATGACATTCTCTGGCTTAAACTTCACTTCATCCAGATGCTTTGCAAATAGCACTGTCACACCTATATGAGTGAAAAGGTGCAAACTGGAAATTCCGTCATTCATTCCATCATCATTGTGCACTAAAACTTTCCTTGCTATTATGTAGAGCTACATGGATTCGGATGTATGTTGTCATGATATAAAGACTTGTGTGTCAAAGGGTTAAATTGCTGTATAGTAATGTCTGTGGGGGGGGTTTAAATGGTCATAGGTACTCTGTGTGCATATATAAGTGTGTATGTGTGTGAGAAAGAGAGAGAGACTCACATGGTAAGAAGAGCGACGTTCTCTATCAAGAGGTTTGGTGACGAACATCTTTCCAAGCACGGGGTCTATATTGAACACTTCATTGGGTGGTTGATCTGCTCCCACCCCAGTGATGCTGTATCGGATCGAGATGTCCTTGTCCTGGTCTGAACGAATCTGCATCACAACAAACAAAGAGGAACACTCAATCAATCAATCAATCAAGTGTTTATTAAAGTCTCATACTGTGTTAGACCGAGCCACACAGAGTTTTCTGTGTGTATGACTCTCTTGCCCTGACGAAACTAAACTAAAACACACAGTTGCTATGGCCTACCTACATCTATTGTTGCAACATGTGGTGACTGGTTTATAATATCCAGCCCCGGAGTTTAATAATTTTGTCCTTACATTGGGTAACATGCTTGCTAGAGTGTGGCATTTCTAGCTACCACATATTCAAGGATTCCATTAGTGCTGCCGCAGGGAGCACTATGCATTCTGTTTAGCAGAATTGGACAGCTTCAAAAGAAACATTTTAATTCAATATTTCGGGGAGGGAGAAATGAAATCAACATGTATTTACTGATAACTTTGACAGTGCTTTATTAACATTTGCTGGCGCTAAACTGGGATTAAGACAGGTTGTGGATAAAAATGACTATTAGATGGAAAAGTGAAAATATGAGGTTGTAATTGTTGTGTAATTAAGGAGGCAACAACAGGCAACATAACATTAAACACATTTGAGGAGGGAAAAATGGGCCAGAAGAAAATAATCTCAAATCCAGGGGTGCACAGGAGAAGATAATTATTTAATAACTGTGGGAGATGGGAAGCAGAACATTCTTTAAGAAATAGGCCTGTGCTTGAGTTCAGCTTTCCTTGCCAGATAGACAGCTAATAGGTGCATTAACTGCACTGCTAGGCCTGTGATTTGGACTGAAGTGCTGTGTAATTGGGACTCATTTGGAGGAGTTTTTCAATTTAGTGCCCAAATAGAGTCCAAACCTCAAAGCATCCCATCTCTTTCCATTAACTACATGACAACCCGTGAACATCAGCTGGTGTATCAAAATGACTCAATCATACACTTACTCCAGTATGCGGGCACATACTGTACACAAACACACACGGGGAAAAGGCCAATCTCTTTTTTCTTAATCAATGACTATTTCAGTGGAGAGCCTGAGTGTACCCGAAGAGTATGACTGTCCAAAGTTGTCTCCATCTTTCACCACTTGAGGAACCAATTTAGCCACACTTTTGACACACCCGGAATTCTGCCCTGCTGAGAAAATAGCTGGAGCAACTAACAAGGACACAGGACGGACATACGGTATTAGACAGGTGTCAACCTGACTTTTCCTACTGGTGGAATAAAAACCTGTCACCATCACTGACTCTGCTATTATCACTATTTTCCTTCTCCTCCTCTTCAGCAGCATCAACATTATCAACTCTTTAACTCATCAACTCAATATTAGTAAGATCCGGCCTTTAATGTGTGCCTTTAATCTTTAATCAAACAAATGTGATCGGTTATAGAAACCTTCCCTGTAAGAATGCAAGAGGAGCTGTCATAACATCACACTTAGGTTATTTGTGCATGTCTGTATGTGTGTTTTCTTTGGGGAATAGGGGGAGGAGAACGTCAGAATGCTCTGCACATATCTCAGCGAATTACTGCTGACAGCTATGATAATTAACGAGCTGCAGACATCGACTGCTATTACTTCAAAGAAACTCTACCCGTTAAACACCAACAAACTAACAACTATCCTGCCAGCAACTCAGTTGAACGCTCAATGTACCACCATTACCCTCCTCTATAGGCAAAGCAAAGAGACTGCTGCACACTGACTCCATCTACCTCTCCTGTCGCATTAGAAAATACAAGCAATTATTACACATCCGGCTGCCAAATGGTCTCCCCCTCTCATTCATCCACCTTTCTCCTCCCCTCTCCTTGTCTCTGCTTTCCTTCCCCCTCCCTTCTCCTTTCCAACTCCTTCTCTCTCATCTCCACTCCTCCCCTTTCCTCTCATCTCTCCCCTCCACTGTACTCTCTCATCACTCTCTCTCTCTGTCTTCGCTTCAGGTCTCCGTGGGGACAGAAGCCATGCATGAAAAATGAAATTACTTCAATCCGTTGGCCTTGGCAGTGGCGTATAAATCCTCACCAGTTAGGAAGTGATAGCTCTCCATAATTCCATTTGGGTTTTCCCCGCCCCTCTGATTTCCCACCCGTCCTACTTGGGGGGGAAAGAGATTCAGCTGCACGTTTCCACAGTCATTCGAGCCAATTAGCTCTCCCTCCCACAACGCTTTTAAAACTATTGAGGGACAGCGCCAGAATCTTTATCCTCATCTACCAAATATTTGTGCATGGATGTGTGTGCAAACATTTGTGCATTCAAGCTTGCACAAGTGTGCTTTGTCTGGCTCATGATTATTAATGTATATAACATATGCAGGCATATCACATGCATATACATGGCTTTGCATTAAGGGATCCAATAATGGATGTCAAGGAAATGAATCAGCTAGCTGATGCATGTTATCATTTTTCCTTTTATCACAGAATATTGTGACAGGCGGGATGTCATTTCAATAGTGAGAAGCTCTCACTGACATTCTGCCATTTTAGCTTCAGAAAAGGGAGGGAATGTGTTCAGGGAAAAAAGCCCAGCATGAGATGAACACGAAGAGCTTCACATAGCTGCATAAGTACTTTTTATTTCCTTTAATGAAAAGAGGGAAACGCTCTCTCTCCCTCTTTCTCTCCACTGTTATCTTGCCCCTCACACAATAACAGACAGTAATACACACACGCATAAAATGCCTCCATAGGCTAATAAAAAAACAGTGCCAATACTAACCAAAATCATTTTTTTCTTTGTGTTTTTTTTTTTTATTCCCTCTGATTTTTATTCTCTATTTTTTGATAGTGTGTGTGTATGCATGTCTATAGGGGACAGAGAGATTAGAAGAGAAGCGCTCTGCTAAGAGAGATAGATAGTGAGAGTGAGAAAGAGAGAGAGACAGCGTCATGACTGTATCATCCGGCATCAGAAACCAGACACTGTCTAAATGACCTATTTGTCGACGGATCAAAGCAATTCCCTTCATTACTGACAACTTGTCTGGTTCTTAAGGAGATCTTATCAGTGAGCTTAGCTCCCTTCTGCCAGGCAAAACTGAATCAAATGAGAAATTATCATGCTACCGGGTCTTCTGGGAAAACAGAGAAGAGGAGATGAAGAGCGGGGAATGAATAACACAGAAGCGCCGTTCTACCGCGGTTACTAGGGTGCAGAGGAATTAATTCTCACTTAAGAATTCATGTTAACTAACACTTTAGTAAAGTATCCAACTACCACCATTTAGATGTGTGATTTCACTGCATGTTGTAGATATACACTACTACATATATTAATAATTATATATATTAAAATTAAATTGATCCAAATTGAAGTATTGATCAGGTGATCTATATTGAGTGTGGACAGGGTAAAAGTAGTGTGAGATATGTACAAAAATATTGCATAAAATTGTTGCATAAAAGACAATACAAACTATCTAAACCTCTATAGAGGGTAATGCAACCCAATAGAAGAAGATCCTTCTAATATTTAATCCACACCTATAAACATACCTTAAAAATTATAAGGCTATCCAATGAAACCACCACCATAAAACTAGGCCTCATAAATGATCAGAGTTGAATCAACATTCTAAAAGAGTCAGCAAAAATGCAAGCAATAATTATATAATAAATGTTTTTATATCACCGATGAATAACATGACTAGTTGAATGTGAAAGGGGCTGCTCATTGCAATAAACAGATAATTTAACCTGCCTCTGCAGTTCCATCTCAGCTCCACAGAGCTTTGTAACTAGTTTCAGCTCATTGTTTTGGTTTTCGGGCCACAACTTTACTGTTTTGGTTCAGTCTTACTTCCCTACTAGCCTGGATCAAGCTGATGTTAGGAGAAAAAATTGTTTGCTTGTGTATTTTTCAAGTCAGCAAGTTTACTTTAAGTCCCCCAATTTAGCATTCATAAGCAATTTGAACAAGTACTTTTATATTTTATAAGACTTTAATGTAGTTGTTCAGTAAGCAAAGGAGATGTAAGAAAATGTACAAATTCTGTACATTAATAAAGGCTCTTAAATGTTCTTATATCTACAACTACATTATAGTGTGTTATTAAAGTTTATGTTGCATACTCCTTATAAAAGCTGAATAGGAGGACTTAAACTAAAGTGTTACCCAGAAGTCTAGTTTACAGATAGAGTTTGTTGTTTTTTTATTGTTAATATTGAGCTGTTAGCAAACTAGTGTATATTTTTAGTTTTGTTTTGTGCACCCGTCATGAGTGAGTTATGATTTGGCCATTAGTGAGTATATAATGTATATACAGGAACATACACTCTTTGGCTACTTTATTAGGTACAACTGACATGACAAAGACAGTCACGTATAATAAATAGCCATAAAGTTGTACTCTGGTGGTGGTGGGTTGGGTGGACTTTGGTCTCTCACCTGAGTGACAAGCGTTCGATTCTTAACCTGGCTAGTCTTTCAGGTTCAAACTCAGGAAATGGTGGCCTTCTCTACTTGTGAGATACCAGAGTGATGTCGAGCATATATATATATATATATATATATATATATTAGCATTGCATTTGTTTGCTTCAACATTCAAGCTTTTCCTCAGCCCACGCAATTCTCACCATGGCAGATTAGGAAGAGAAGGCGCTATATGTAAACAAAGGGGAGGAACATGGAGAGGCTTTGGGCTTGAGTATACACAATTCGAAATAGAATTTGCTGTGTTAACAGTCACTATCGATGCCAGTACACTCATTATGTTTGCAGGTCTGTCTTCCTCACCACAGGATGGAGGCGCTGTGAAAGTGATGATACCGGAAAAAGAAGATAAAAAGAAGTAGGTTTACAAGTAGCCGTGGTACAGTTTTTATAGAAACACTAAAGGGGATAGTATGTTTGTTTCCTAAACCAAACAAGGAGCTAGACTGGAGAGATTATTGTATGAAATGATGGATGTGGAGGTGAATGCGTGCAAGCCAGATTGATGATCTCACAAAATGAGTGACTGCTTTTGTTTAAAACTTCCCATCCACCCATCAATCATATTAAAAAGCAATC